GGCTTGGGCCTAAACTGGCAGTCGGACATCCTGCAAAGTGTCCCCGATTGCAAGAGGGTGCAGGCCAGGCTGAGGGACCTTCCCCTCCCCTGTGCATGAATTTCATGCACCAGCCTCGAGTAAATAATAACAAGTCCACAAGAATGCAGCTGCCAGTTACTAAGCCCAGCCATATGGCAAGCATTGTGTTCAATGTATTTTAGGTGTTAGCTAATTTTATCTCTTTTAGAGGCTCTCCATTTCTTTGTCCTTAGGCTTCCTTGAAGAGCCTTTCCCTGAACTCTTCCAGATGAACAACACTTCTGGGGCCCTCCCTACTCAGTGCTCACTCCTCTCCCTCAGAGGATGAGCAATGGGTTCATTGCTGAGATGGTGAGAGTCTGACTTCTGTCACCTGCATCTCTGTACTTGTGGTTGAACTGTGAAGATTGTTGCTAAATGTGGTGTGCCTTTTCCACCCTTCCCTAGCTCAGTGGTCGGCAAACTCATTAGTCAACAGAGCCAAATATCAACGTTACAATTGAAATTTCTTTTGAGAGCCACATTTTTTAAACTTAAACTATATAGGTAGGTACATTGTTATTAACTTAATTAGGGTACTCCTAAGCTAGACTTTGCTAAAAACGTCCTCAATCTGAGGGGTTGATTTCAGCGAATGTACCGCCACTTCTTCTAATGCCACTTCTTCAAAATAGACTCACCCAGGCCGAAAACCGACTTCTGCTCATGGGCCATGAAGTTTCATAGCACTGTACGTGCTGGCCTGCACATGGTATTTTGTGTAAGAGCCACACTCAAGGGGCCAAAGAGTCACATGTGGCTTGTGAGCTGTGGTTTGCCAACCACTGGCCTAGCTAGTGTGCCTGCAGAACGCATTCTTCTGTTCCCTTTGGCTATGTATATATGGAAGACACACATAGATCAAGGTGAATGGCCTACCTCCTACAAGCAAACCTGGAGGACCATCTCCTGGTGTCTGTGATAGTGCATCTCAGTGAGTGAGGCAGCTATTCTTGTAGCTAGCTGGTTGAATAATTGTTTTGTAAATCCATCTTTTTTGAATGGGCTCCAAGGTCTAGACTTGGGAAAAAATATTTCTCCTAGATTGCTTTAAAAGAAAAAGAATAAAGCTTTTTTAAAAATTATTTTTTATAATCCTCTCCCAAGGATATGTTTTTATTGATTTTTAGAGAGAGAGGAAGGGAAGAAAAAGAGAGATAGAGAGATAGAGATAGAGATAGATAGAGATAGAGAAACATCAATTGGTTGCCTCAAGTACTTGCTCCCACCTGGGATCAAACTCCTAATCTAGGTATGAGTCCTGACTGGGAATCAAACCTACAATCTTTCAGTGTGAGTGAAGATGCCCAACCAGTTGAGCCACCTACACAAGGCAAAATAAAGCTATTTTTATCTTTCTTTCAATTCTTGTGTCTATTTCTCAATTGATTGGAATGTAGAGAAAGGTGTGATTGATGTTTATACCTGATAATCTTTCTACAACAGGCATCACTTTCCTCCCCAATACAATTACGGAAACTAAGTTTCAGAGAGAGTAAGTAACTTGGCTAAGACCATGCAGCTAGTAAACAGAGAAGCCAGCATTTGACCTGTGTGATTGCACTTCCCATTTCACCCACCTGTTGCACCACACTGCCTCTTACAGAATCTCTGAGTAGAAGAGGACCTTAGGGGTCAGCTACATCACTTCAGCCATCGCAGGAGTTCCATCTTCCACATTCTTGCCAAGTGTTTATCCTGCCTTTGCTTACACATCTCCAATATCAGGGAGTTTACCACTTTACCAGGGCAGGCATTGTACTCACCATAGACACGCAGCCCATACTCCTGGACGAAGGGCTCCTGGAGGAACGGGCTGTGTATTTGGACAGAGTAGGCACCTGAGTCATTCTTACTCAGTTTGCTGAGCTTCAGGGAGTAGTTCCCGTGCGAGAAGCCTAACCTTCCCTTGTTATGATTTTTAGTCACTATGACAGTGTCTGGTTTGTTTGTCATTGTTGGCTGTATGGTGATAAGAGTAGCACTTTCAAAGAACCAGATAATGCTGTCAATCCGATCTAGTGAGTGTGTCAGAGGGAAAATCACAGATCCACCGATGGCACCCACCAGCTCCTGCTGGGCTCCAGAGGCTGTGGGCCCTGCAGACACAGAGAACCATAAAATAGACGTGAGTCCCTGCTCTTTCCACCAATTACTCAGCCCCTTTGGGCTCTAGAAAGGTCCCAAGAAAGTCACTCCGTCCAACCCACCGGCTCCTGGGAAACCTTCTGGAAGCT